AAAAAATTAGCGTAGTAGAAACTTATACCTAACTATTGAAGCAACAAAATGTTGGAGTTTCATGATCAAATTTGATTGCTCCACAAAATTTGCATCGATGTATCTTTTTAAGCTCATGTCTTGGAGAATAAAATGGTTCGTACAAAATTTGTACTGTGTAATATTAGAATACAAACATTAATATATGTAAAAATAATGTTAATAAAAGAGATATTGAAATATGTTAGTCTGTGTGGCTATACTAAAATCATTTTTTCTCTAATATGTGCTTCCTGAAGTTTTCTTTTTTTCCTTGACTGCACAGACAATTCAATTGTTTTTCTTCTTTCTTCTTGAGAAAGTGTGGAGTATGTTTTTTTTTCTATCACCATCAATATTTTCCTACTAAAATGATAACAAAGCCAAGTAAAATTAAAATAAATTCCAAATTATAATTTATTTTTCCACGTAGTGTGTTTAAATGTTTTTTGTTTTCCTAATAAGAATTGACTTAGTTTTGTATTTTTATATCAATTTGTTTTACGGTTCATGTTTTGATTACCTTAATCTCTCTCATTTATTTTATGAAAGTCAATGCTCGTAAAGTTCTATCCTTTTTAAACAATTACGAAAATAAAAATGTAAAGTTATAGGCATTAAAGCCCAGAGGAATAGTTACAATTTTAATTTACCCATAAATTTAATTTCGATTTAATTTGTTATATTTTTGTTATATTTTTCAGTTCAAACCAATGAAATAATAGCATGACGGTTTTAACTAGATCGGAAATAAAGTGCAATGAGTAGAGGTACATAACCAAATTGACACAACTAAACCGATTTTTGTGGTTTGGTTGGTTTGCAGTTTAGTTCGATTTATTATAATTTTGTAAGTAAAATATTTACTTTTATAATAGTTTGGAGTTGAAAAATAGAACTTCAGAAAAATGAACTATATATAAAGTTTAAATTCTCTAGCGTATTTATATATAAAGTTTAAATTTTCTAGTGTATTATGATATAGAAAATACAGAATTCAAATTATAAATTTGATATTACACTTGAACATGTAACGTATGTTTAGATTATTTCAATAAGTTAAATTGATCTATGAACAAATTTTGCAATTCATATAAATAAAGAGAAAATAAAATATTAAATTGAAAAAATAAATAAAAATTAAGGACAGACATGGGAGGAGATCAGAGAAGAGAGATGAAGGAGGAAGAAAAGGAAAGGAAGAAATAACGAAATAAAAAAAAAAGGAAAAAATCGATTTTAAGAAAAATTAAATTGTCTATTTTTTATTATTATAGTTATCTAAAATTTCCTTACTTAAAATATTATAAAATTTAATAATTATGACATGATTTAATTATAATTACATAATTTAAACAAAAACAATTCTTAAGTTTTAAATTACCGAGATTAAATATATCAAATTTTGAATATACTTGTATATTTATTAGAAAAAAAATAAATAATCAATATAGCTAAATAATTTTAATATTCTTAAATTACCCTTTAAATTTAAATGAATAAATTATTGTAGTTCGACCATATTTTTTAATTTAAATAAATATTTTGGTTCTGTTCAGTTATTTACCCTATTTTTTATGGTTTAATATGTCTTATTTTAATATTGTAAAAACATATGCTAAAATTTTAAAATAATATATAAATTATAATGGAATAGATATTAAAGATCTTGAACTAAAATTACAATTTTTTTAATTAACGCATGAATTAAACTTTTTACTTAGTTCTTTTGTTTTTAGATTGTGAAGGAAAAAAATTATATTTTAAGATTTATTGATAAAGATTTGTTCAATCTTTTTTTCCTTTATATCAAGATTTATTCAATCTTGAACCGATTAAAATCGTTTTTATAAAAGAATATATACTTATTTAATGTTATTTTTATCTACCAACTATGGAAGGAAAAATGACATTTTTAAAAATCAATTAATATTACTTTTATAAAAAAAAAAGAATAATAAATAATTTATATATTATATATTAATTTATGATTTAATGGTGGTAGTTAGTGTTCTTACCGAAAAAGTTCCGATAATCACAATGAGGTCTTCGAGAACACTCAAAGATGAGATCCTGCAAAAAGGAATTAGCACTCCGAAGATTTTATCAGCGTAGGTGTTACAATTGGATCTAATACTTTCTAAGTTAGAGTTTTCACGTGACGGTAGGGGTTTAGAGGTGAAGGCTTGGGGGGGAGATCGAA